TCATTATAGAGTAAGTATAGGGGGCTGGGGATATGGTTCAGTGCCTTAAGTTTCTCACAAGTACAAGATCCTGAGTTGGATCCTCTGTATCAAAAAAAAAAAAAAAAAAAAAAAAAAAAAAAGGAAATATAGCATACAAATTGAAGACTCCCAGGAATTACCACAAATGGTTACCATTTGTCAGTGTTTCTAAAATTTCACAATTAGTCAGGCATGGTGCCTACACCTGCTATCCCAGCACTCGGGAGGCTGAGGCAGGAGGATCATGAGTTTGAGACTAGCCTGGGCCACACAGTGAATTCAAGGCCAGCCAGCCTGAACTATGCAGCAAGATCCTGCCTCCAAAAAATAATAATAATAATAATAATTCACAATAACAAGAAAAAAAAGTCAGCTCCTTCCCGCTCTGCGTGCACCTCTCCTCAGCCCCTACCTGGCTGTGCATCCTTCGGAGTTCCTGCCGTGCTGCCTCGGCCCAGCCCTGCCCTGCCGAGCCGCCCGTGGGATGCCACCCACTTGCAGCAGCTCCTCTCCCTGGCCCCCAGGGCTGAGCAGCAGCTGGGTGGCTTCCCGCTGTGTGGCCATGGCTCGGGTGGTCGCCTGTGTGCCTGCAAGGATTCGGTGGGAAATGCTTGCTCTCCTTGTGAAAACATCCTGCTCTTTCTGGAAAAGTAAATCATGACGGGCTTCTCCTCAGCCTGACGGTCCCCTGCCCAGAATCTGCCCAAGAGCAATGAAAACATCCATGGTAGGTTGAAATGTTCGCTGGGGGTACTGGCGCACACTGTCATCCCAGTTCTTGGGATGCTGAGGTAGGAGGATTGTTTTGGGCTACAAAGCCCAAGGCTAGCCTGAACTAGGTAGTGAGACCTTGTCTCAAAAAGACAAAAGACAAAAAACAAAACAACAACAAAAAACCCACAAGAAAAGAAACAAATGTACAGTGATGTTTGCCAAAAACAGTGACTGTGTATGAGGCGGTGGGGAGGATATGGAGCACTGAGTGGAGGATCATGGCAATGTGCATTTTAATGTGTTAAATTTTGTTTTAATTTTCTTTTTGTATTTTAGGGAAGGATATACAGGGTGTTCAGGGTCTCACTACTTGATCGGACTCAGTGATCTGCCTGTTTACAGCCTCCCAAGAGCTGGGATAACAGGCACGCACCACCATGCCCAGTCTCAATCCCGGCTCAGCACGCCCTGGGGGCGGGGCCAGAAAGGCAGGTCCCAGGATTGAATCTGCGGCCCCTGTGCCTGCTTGCAGGAGCTTTAATCCACTGCGCTATTTGGCTGGTCCTTTTTTATTTTATTTTTGCTTGAGACAGGATTTCACTATGAAGTCTGGCCTTCAGCTGGTGGCGATCCTCCTGCCTCAGCCCCTCGAGGGCTGGGATCCTAAGTGTGCGCCAGCACGCCCAGGATTTTCTTAAACAGCTCTATGAAGGTATCGGTTACACACTGTAGACTTTTCCTACCACAGGTGTGCAGCTCCACAACCTGTGATGAATTCATGGCGCTGTGCAGCGATTCCCAGTCACGCCTCTCGGGCCAGCCTGGGCCTTGGTGAGCTTTAGGCCAGCCTGAATCACACAGCGAGATCCTGACTGAGAAAAAAACAAACAGCCTCCTACACAAACCCACTGGAGCCCGTCTGGGCTATGGCTTATTGCGCCGTCTTGAGGATTAAGGAGCTGATCTGCTTGTCCCTCCACGATGCAGCGAATGCTTCGATCATACGACGGCGGTGAGCCCACAGCACGCGTGCCGCGCTGGGCTGCTACCGCTGGAAGCTCTACAGGGTTGGCCATCAGCCCTCCCTCCCTTCTCTGGCACAGGGCATGGTATTGTGCACACTGCACTGGTTTTGGTGTTTCACTTTTTTGAGACAAGGACTATGTGGCAGGCTGGTGTGCCTGCCCCCACGAGAGGCTGTCTGTGTCCAGAACTGTGTCTCGGTGTTTCGAAGCGACTCAGAGGAGCGCTCTGGCTCTGCGAGGCCTGTCCTCTCCACAGGACCCAGATTCCATCTGGAAGCAGAGCAGTTGCCATCTCCTCCTGGGGACCTTGCTGTCTCCAGCCCTCCTGAACATGCAGGGTGAAAGTTGGCTCACAGTATTGCCTCTTAGGCGGGTCTGTGGAATCCCCTCTCCTGATGGGTTTTGTTCATGACACTAAAGCTACTCTAAAAATAAGGGTTGCCAGGTGTGGTGGCACACACCTGTAATCCCAGCACTTGGAGGCTGAGGCAGGAGGACTGCCGTGAGCTGCATAGTGGCCAGCCTGGGCTGCACACTGAGTTTATGGCCAGCTCTGTCTGTGGTCACATCTGCATATGGTATTGGGGAGCCACAAGGGTTCTGGGAAATGCAGTGGCATGAGGTAATAGCTCTTGCCCTATGGGACAGGTCCCTCAGGAACAGGGTCAGAGGGAACCCTAATTTCTCTGTCCCAGATTTTGGTTATTGCCTGACTCCCCAGTTGGGCCAGGTAGTCACCTACACTGTCCCCTCAAGCCCCACCCAGCTCCCTGCAAGGTCACAACCAACCCCACCTGTGCCACGGAAGCAGACAAGATAGTTACGCGTGGGATGGTTAAGATGGGAAAAATGGGGGTGCTGCCCCTCAAGGCCTCAATTTGCCACCCCAGAAAATGGGGGTGGTGCCCATGCTCACTTTCTCTTGCAGGTAAGAGGAAGGACACCATATTATTTACATATGACAAGGGACAGCCTTTGAAGGGGGGGGGGCAGACGGCAAGAAAGAGATTTAAGAAAGGCTGGCAAGTGAATATTCTTACCCTTCCACTCCTTTCCTAGGGCCTAAAAATGTGGGTTAAGGGAAAAAATTAGAGTGGGTACAGTGGTACATGCTGGAGCTGCGCCCCTCAGCTACTTGGCCCCACCTCACGGGCCTGCATGCACCCCTTCGATTTTCAAACAAAACAGTCCCATGTGGCTGGAGGATACTATACAAGACAGCAAAGATCTAGAACATTCTCTTGCCACAAAAGTTTGCTCAGACCATTGTAGTTGTAGAATTCTGGCTCCCTAGGAGGGACAGACCTCTTAGTCCCCAGGATGGGCAGGACCTGCGGTGCCTGGCACTGACTAAAGCACTGGGAGTGTCTGGGGACCATTTGCCTGTGAGGACCCATGTCCCCTTCTCCTCAGGGTCCCTAGGCTTCCTGCCTGGTTGACGCTTTGGTGTGCGAATCCCCCAGCGCCCTCCACAGACAGCCACAGGCGAGTTCACCAGCTCACATTTATTCACGGACAGGGACAGACAGACCTTTGCCCACAGGAACTCCCTGGGAGCAGCTCCAAAGAGGTGATGGTGTTCAGTGTCTCGCAGGACCAGCCGGCGGGGTGGAGCCGCCCGCCCACCTCCCTGTGGCCTAGCGTCCTCCGCCTCCGGTTCCAAGTCCTTCTTCCTGAACACGCGAGGGAGTGGCACAGGGATTTGGGGAGGGTAAGGTGTGGGGGCAGCCCGGAGCCTTTGCTCTGAGGGCCAAGGCTGGAGGGTGTTGGCGCAGGGGGTCCTTTCCTTCCAATGCAAACCGGGGGCTCCCATGGAGGGCGGAGGGGCCCTGAGGGTCAGGAGGCCAGGCTCCCCAAGCCGCGCAGGTGGGCTTTGCTGTCCACCTCATCCTCCTCCATCTTGAAGGCTGAGTGGTCTTGGCTGTCAAAGCAGGAGGCGCTGAGGAAGACCGGAGGTGCTGCGGGAGACTGGGGTGGGGTCCCCGGGGAGGGGGGCTCCTCCTTAATGCGTGCAAGGGCCAGCGGGACCCCCTCAGCCTCCTGCTCTGCCGACGACTGCGTGGCTTGGGCCTGCAGGGCCTGCAGCGCGGCCACTCTCTCCAGCTCCAGCTCAGCGCGGTGGCACCGCTGGTGGCGCAGCAGGCTGTAGGCCCGTGAGAAGCGCCTCGGGCACCGAGGACAGAGGTGCGGGGCCGGGCCGCCCGCGTGCACCTGCGCGTGGCGTGCCAGGTCAGCCAGGCGCTTGAACTCGCGCTGGCAGCGCACGCACTGGAAGGGGCGCGCGCCCGAGTGGGTAACACCGTGCTGGCGTAGGTGCGCGCGGCGACGGAAGCCCTTGCCGCACTCTGGGCACCAAAAGCGGGGTTCGCCTGCTGGGGGCCGCGCGGGACCAGCATCACCCCCGTTCTCACCGCCGCCGTCGCCCCCCTCCGAGGCGCCCTCGCCGCCCTCGGGCCCTCGCCCCGAGTTCCGGGCGCCAGAGGCCCTGTCGTCCTTCTTGGGCAGTGGCACCAGCAGGCTGAGAGGGCCATGCACTCGGCGGTGCTGGCGGAGGTAGGAGGCCAGGCGGAAGGCCAGCCCGCAGTCCGGGCACACGAAGGGGCGGTCGGTGGAGTGGACCAGCCGGTGGCGAGACAGCGACCAGGGCCTGGCGAAGGCCTTGAGGCAGATGGAGCACTGGTGTCGCTTGGGGCGAGGCGGTGGCCCGCCCTCGCCTTCTTGCTCGCCTTCGGGGCGCAGGCATGGGTGCGCCTTGAGCTCGCCCTTGGTGGCGAAGGCCTCGCGGCAGCGCAGGCACAGCAGCGTCCAGTCGGCCTGCAGCAGCACCTGCTTCTCCTCCTGCCGCCCAGCCGCCAGCGCCAGCTCAGCGCGCAGCTCAGCCGCGCCGGCCTCCGCCGCCCCGGGCTCTGGCATGCGAGGCTCCGCGCTGGGGGGCGCGGCCGGCGAGGGCTCGCCCTCGGCCCACGGCTCCCCCTCCGTGCCTGCTGCGCCCCCCGTAGGCGGCTCGGTGCCCTCGCCCTCCTCCTTAGTCGCGCGCTCCGTGGCCAGCTCCACCTCGCCGCCCGCGTGCTCCTGTGCCAGGTGGCGGCGCAGCTGCGCGGGCTCGGGAAAGGTGCGCGGGCAAGCGGCGCAGCGCAGCGGGGGCTGTGGCCCGTGGCCCCGCAGGTGGCGCGACAGGTGCGCGGGCCGCCTGAAGGCCTTGGGGCACAGCGGGCAAGCGTGCGGTCGCAGCCCCGAGTGGCTCAGCCTGTGCCGCGAGAGGTAGTAGGGGAAGCGGAAGAGGCGGCCGCACGTGGGGCACGGCAGGGGCGCGCGCGGGGCTCCGGCACCCCCGCGACCCCGGCCCCGGCC